GGTGCTGCTGGGTGGGTGCTGGGTGCGAGCGGGGTGGCAGCCGGCGGGAGCCCCCCCGGCGCCCCCCCAGCCTAGCCCCACGCCCAGGGGAGCGTTTCTGCTGAGTCGGGTGGTTGCAGGCGGCTGAAAACAACCCGGGGGCAAAGTCCGGGGCTGGGCCGACGGCGGGAGCCACCTCGCCCCAGCGGGGGCACCCAGAACCCCGCTCCCCACGGACCCCACCCCCGGGGACCCCCCAGACAATGGGACGCCCCTCCACAAAGGCACTGACCGCCTGCGTGGGTGCCGGGGCTGCCCCACGGGGCCACTGCCGTGTCCCTGCCCCCCAGCACAGATGGGCTCCGGGGGTCCCAGCGCCCCCCCAGCCCAGCTGCCAGCCGGGTCAGGGAGGTGAGGCCCTAAGCGCTTTAGCCACGGTGCCAATTAGCGTGATTAGCACGGGCTGGGGGCAGGGCAGCCCCGCGGCCGCCGGCCAGGGATCCCCGGCCATGCGGGCACCGGGGCAGCGTCACCGCGGGCACCGGGGCAGTGCCATGGTGGGCACCGGGGCAGTGTCACACTGGGCACTGGGGCAGTGTCGTGGTGGGCACCGGGGCAGCATCACGGTGGGCACCAGGGTGGCACAGATCTGCCTGACAAACCCTGGCTGCACCGGCTGGCACGACCGTGCTGCGGGAGTGTGGCCAGGCACAGGGCACCTGCCGTGCCACGGCTGGCGGCACCCGGCACGCGCCGATGCCCGTGTGTGAGGCTGTGCCAAGTGCCACACGCGTGTCTGCGTCTGGTGCTGTCACACACCTGTGCCAGTGCCCGGCACACCATCACGCCCAGTGCCATGCGGTGCTGTGGGCACGTGTGGCAGTGGGGACAGCGTGCTGTGCCGTGCTGTGCTGTGTCAGGAGGCTGCAGGAATCCCAGGCATGCACAGCAGCTGGGCAACCCGAGCAAGGGGGATGCCACGGGCCTGACATCAGGGCAGCCCACCCAGTGCCATGGGGGCGCTGCATGGTGCCCCCTCCCCACACAGGATGGCTGAGCCCAGGTTTGTGTCCTCCCTGTGGCTCACGGCTCATTGAAGCCACCACTCGTAGGACAGCTGGTGGCTGCAGGGCTGGTGACCTGTCCCGACACTGACAGGGCACCCAACGTTGTGGCCTTGAGCCTCTGACAGGTCCTGTGTCCGACGGGTCCTGCATCACCACAGAAGGGACCTGCACCATGACCCAGCCCTGGCCCTGCAGCCCCCACAAAGCCCCCAGGATTGCCAGGAACTCTGCATCCAACCAAGGCCCCCTGGATTGCCAGGAACTCTGCATCCAACCAAGGCCCCCAGGATTCCCAGGAACTCTGCATCCAACCGAGGCCAAACCAGCCACTCCTTCCTGCCGTGTGTGAGCATTCAGCTGTGCCTCCTTTTCCCCATCCCACCGGAGCTGCCTGGCAGAGAAAGAGCCACACTCCCATATCCCCAGCAGCGTGTCCCCTGTGCCAGCACACAGGATGTGGCTCATCCCGATGTCACTGCTTGTCCAGGCTGCAAAGGTCACCCAACAGGGTGACCCCCGAGCGCTTGGTGTGTGCTGAGTGTGCCCAGGCTCAGCTCTTTGGGGTGGCTGCGGGCCCCGAGCCCCGCGGGGTGCCCCTGGCCCCAGGAGGTGTGCCGGGACGCCGGGAGCTATTCTCAGCCCTTGGCACGGCATGGGACGTTTCTAAATCGGGGGCTCTGGTTCACGTGCACGGGGACGAGCTCCTGGGTCCCCTCCCCGCGGGGCCCTGCTTGAAGGGGGGAGGTGGCCGCCACGAGGTGCCCAGCGCGGGCACCCACGAGGGGACACACAGGGACAGGCACCGGGACACGGCACCGGGACCGCCCGTGGGGAGCCCGTCCCCCTTGAGAAGGGGACACAAGGGACAGCGCTCGCAGTGTTCCTGCAGTCACCCGACCCTGTCCGAGGGTCTGCAGCGCGGGGGACATCCCGAACGGCACCGCCCCTGGGGGCGCGACCCCGCTGCGCCCCCCGCCCGCATCCAGCCTGAGCGGGGCCCTGGCAGCGCAGCCCGCGCCCGCCTTCGCCTACACCGCGCCCCCCTTCTCCTCCTCCTCCTCTTCCCCCCCAGTCCGGAGGGGGACCCAGGCGTCCGGCCCCGCCCCCACGCACCGGCGGCTGCGCGGGGTCCGGCGGGGCCGGGGGTCCGCGGGATGGGACCCCCGGGGCTGCCCCGCCGCTGCTTCGGTCTCCGCTGACCCGGGAATGCGCTGGCGGGGCGAGGAGCGGAGCCGGGGGACTGGGGGGAGGTCCCGCTTCCTGCAGCCGCCGCCCGTCAGGAGGGGTCCGGGGGTGCGCCCGCAGCCCCCCCCGTGCCTGCTCCGCACGGTGCGGGACACCGGGCGCGTACGGCCCGCGCTCCCCGCTCCGGGAACCCGTGCGCGGGGCGACCCCGCGAAGGTCACGGCCGCGGGAGGGAAAGGGGTGCCGGGGAGAACCCCCACGCGAGGATCCCGCTCCGCCGGCCCCGGGGCCCGCACCATTGCGGGGGGCACACGCAGCCGCACGGAACTGCCCTGGGGAGGGGGGGACGCGCCGCGTCCCCACCCTGCGCCAAGACCCCCGGGCAGGGGAGCCCCCCCCAAACCGGTTCCACCGGGGTTTGCCCGCGCCCCACGGCGGCCCCAGCCCCCCTAGCGCTCCAGCCGAGCCGCGGGGGTCCCCGGTGCTATCGGGGGTCAGGCGGGGTGAGGCGCAGCCCGGCCTCCCGGTGCGGCTCCGGTGTCGGTGGCAGCCCCGGGCGGGGGGGTCACGGCTGAAGGTCGCGGTCCCGGGGTGACCTTGGCCGTGGCGCCCGCCCGCCCCTGCCTCAGTTTCCCCTCATCGCACAGTGGGGACGCGCCAGAGTCCGGTTGCGACCGCATCCCTAACCCCGGCGGCGACACCGGACCGGGGGCAGGATCCGCCCCCCCAGGGTTGGGGTGGGGGACATCCCGCGGGACCGCGGGGCGCCGTGCAGAGGGGAGCCCCCGCCACGCCCCGCGCCCCGCTCAGGGCGAAGCCCGTGGTGCGGGACTCGAGCCCCCCCCCCCCAGCCCCGCCGCACCGGGGACGCCCCCCCGCTGCCCCCGCCCTAACCGGGAGCGGCCGAACCGCCCCCCCCCCGCCCCCCCCCCGCGCTCCGCTCTCGGCGCAAAAAAAAAAAAAAATTAAAAAAATATTTTAAAATTTAAAACATAAAAAAATCGCAGCATTCCTGCCGCCCTGCGGGGTGGGTGCGGAGGAGCGGACACAGGGGCCCCTAAAACCCTCACGGACACCCCACGGCGCCGTCACGGCCCGGCCGTCCACGGTTCCTCCCCCCCCAGCCGCGACAGGGCCACGGCCTGCCCACGGCCCGGCCCCGCGACCTGCCCACGGCGCGGCCCCGCGCCCATCACCGCAGAGCCACGCCGCGGCCCGGACCCCGCCACGCCGCCACGCCACGGCCACGGGGGGGCCGCGGGGCCGGGGGGCCACGGCCGGGGGGGGGGCTGCCCCCGTGGCGTGGCGTGGCGGGCGGGGGGCAGCGCCGTGCCCCGCATGCAGCAGCGGCGGGTGCGGTAGGGGTGGGGGGCGCGGTGCCCCCCCCCGCCCCCCACGGGGGAACGCGGCCCCCCCCGCCCCACGCCAAACGCCCGGATTTTCCAAGAGAAAAAAAAAAAAAAATCTTTGCCCGTGTTTTTTCCTCGCGGTTCGCGGCCCCCGAGCCCTCCGCGGGTCCCGAGGCTCCCGAGGCGATCGCCCCCCGCCCCCCCATTCCACGCACCGAACTGCGCCCGTGCTCAGCCGGGGGGGGCCCGGGGGGGGCGGCGGTAAACAACCGGGGGGTGGCGGGGCCGCTCGGGCCGGCGGGGCCGCTCGGGCCGTACCTGAGGTCGACGGCGGCGGGCGCGGAGCGGCGGTGCGGGGCTCGGAGCGGGGCTCGGAGCGGCGGTGCGGGGCGCGGAGCGGAGCGGGGCGCAGCGGCGGCGGCGGCGGCGGACGAACGGCGCTGGCTCCTCCCTCCCCCGGCCCCGCCGCCCGCCCGCTCCGCTCCGCCGCGGCCGCAGCCCCCTCCGCCGGCCGCAGCCGCTCCCTGCAGCCGCCGCGCCCGGCCCCGCGTGGGGACCCACGGGGGAGCGGCGGGGTCCGGGGGTACCGGGGGAGGGTGACCCCGGGATGGGCAGCGCGGGACGCGGGGATGGCGGGGTGGGGACGGTGGCGGTGGCAGGGTGTGTGATGGGAGCCCTGGCGGTGCCCACGGGGATGTGGTGACAGCGACAACGAGGACGGGGGGTGGTGAGCGCAGGGTGGGGGGCTGTGTGCAGGGGGGGCGAGGGGAAGTGCCCAGGGGGTTGGGGATGGCACCCACGGGGAGCTGGGGGACTGTGCCCACAGCGTCCCCGGGGTGGTGCCCGTGGCCACAGGAGTTTGGGACGGTGCTCACGGGGATGTCGTGACAGTGACAACGGGGATGGGGGATGGCGACCACAGCGTGGCGGGCTGTACCGGAGGGGGAGCGGAGACGGTGCCCAGGGAGGCCCAGGGGGATGCCCGTGGCAGGGTGGGGATGGTGCCCGCAGTGACTGGGAACAGCACGGGGGATGATGTGACAGTGACAACCTGGTGTCCACGAGGGCAGGACACGGCTGGGGACGGTGCCCACGGCCATGCTGAGATAGTGACAGTGGGGACTGGAGAGGCTGCCCACAGGATTTGGGGACAGCACCCAGGAAGGGCTGGCACGGTGCCCTCGCTGGGTGGCGGTGGGGTGGAGATGATGCTCACGGAGATCTGGGACGGTCCCCACGAGGCTTGGTGACAGTGCCCACGGTGCAGGGGGCAGCTCCGCACCCCGCGGTGCCCAGCTCGGCCCGGGGAGGGGCACACACCAAACACGGGGGTCCGATCAGATCCAAACCGCCCCGGGCAGGATCCGGTCCCGCAGGACACCCGCCCGTCGGGGGGCCCTGCCCCTGCGCCCCCCGGGGGATGTGTGGGACGGGGGAGAACGGGGGTCGTACCCCACTGTGGGGCCGCACCCGGAGCCACTCTGGGGCCGGGGATGGCGGCGTGCACCGCGAGCCCGGGGGGATCACTGGGGAAGGCGCTGAGGGTCGCCCCCCGGAGCCCCCCGACCCGCCCGTGCCACCCCACCCCCCTTCCCAGCAGCCCCTGCTCCCAGCCCCCCCTTTTCCTCCCCGGACTACACGTCCCGTCATGCCCGGGCTTAAAGCGGCTCTGCCACCCCCCGCCCCCGCCCCGAGCCCCGCAGCTCGGCCCTGGGACCCCCGGGGGGGTCGGTCTGGCCGCCCCCCACCCCCCAGCCCCGTGGGTACCCCCCTCCCTGGGCTGCACAGGCGGTGCGGTGACACCCAGGGGATGAGGGGGATGGGGGTCTCCCAGGCAGGAAGGCTCCCAAGAGAGGAGGGTCCCCAAGGGATGAAGGCTTCTAGGAGAGGAGGGTCCCCAAGGGATGAAGGTTTCCTTGGCAGGGGTGCGCCCAGGGGATGCTTTTCCATACTCGGGGAGCGCAGGGAAGGGGGGGTCCCCAGCGGCTCTGAGGGCACGGTGCTGCTCAGAATGAGGACAACAAGGGGACAGTGCTACCTGGGGAACGGGGATCTCCAGGGGATGGTGGTGCCCAGGTGATGGACACACACAGGGGATGGAGGACAGTGACACCTGGGACTGCTGGTGGCTGTCCCCACAGACCCCGACGGACCCCCCCAGGACCTCCTGCTGCCGCTGGTCCCCACAGCCTCGCGTCCCCACAGCCCCCAGGGATCCCCCCGGTCCCTGAGTCACCCTGGGGCCCTCCTCCACTGCCTGGCGGTCCCAGCGTGGCGGGGCAGCAGCAGCGTGACGGCCCCCCCGCCCCTCCCCGCCTGTTCCGTACACTTTATCCTCAGCAAACACGGCACGGCCGCGGCCCCCCGCAGCCGTCTGCCCGCGATAAGGCCGTGGCCGAGCTTGCCTGCCCCCAGCCCGTGGGGCTCGGCCGTCTCAACACCACCTCATGTCCCCAGATCCCCCTGCCCGAGGCTGCCTGGCAGCCCCCATCGCAGTGGGGAAACTGAGGCAGGGCTGGAGTTTGCTTGCGGCCCCTCTGGAGCGCATGGACAGGCACCTCTCGCACTCATCACCAGCTCCCTGCCCCCTGGGAGGTGCCCCCAGGGCCACCACAGGTCTCTCTGCACCGCCCCAGCAGGGTGGGGACCCTGTGCCCTGTGGCAGACCCTGATTTGGGGGGATTTGGGGGGATTTGGGATTTAGACGGGCTGTGCTGCTCTTGAGGCGCAGACACTCAGCTGAAACACTCTGGATACAATTCATCCCTCTGCTCTGCTGCAGAGACACTTAATACAGCCCCAAATCAGCAGTGGTGCCCCCCCAGGACCCCCAGGAAGGGGATGACACCCAGCACCTCCATCCCCAGCACTGAACACCCCCACGGGGCAGCACCCACCACCAGCTGGGGGGGGGTCTGGACGGCCCCACGGGATCAGATCCTTCACACCCCACCAAACACCCGTCACCAGCCATGTGCCCCCCAGCAGGACGTGCCAGCAGAGCTCCCAGTGCCCCCGTGGGAAGGGGAAGCCCCCCACGCTGGCCCCCGCTCGCCCCTCGCCTGCCCCCGGCGCTGGGAACGGCCCCGGCCCCTTCCGGCCCCCCCGGCCCCGGGCCGGAGGCAGCTGTGCCGGGGCGCCCTGCCAAGGCACCGAAGCCTCGACGCCTTCCCCCCCATCCCGGCCGCCCCCGCGGCGCCCCGGGGAGCTGCGACCCCCCGAGCTCACCCTGCCACCCCGCCAGCACCCCCAGCACCCCCTGCCCCCTGACTTTGGGGGTGCCGTGCCAAAGGGAGGGGTCCAGCAGAGCCTGGAGACCCCCGTGGTGTCTGTTCCCCGGCCAGCTGTGGGAAGTGGCCCCCCCTGCACAGGAAATCCCTCCTCATGGACAGGGCTGCCCCCGGCGGGACCCCCTCCTGCTGCCGGGGTGTCCCCCCCGCTGCCGGGGCCCCTCGCCGGCTGGGCAGCGCTGCTCGCCCGCCTAATCCCGGCCCCGGCACGGGCGGATTTGCTGCGCCCCGGCCCCATGAATGATTAACCGGGGAATTAAGGGGCCGCGAAGCCCCCCCGCGATCCTCCCCGGAAAATGGGGGCAGTGGGTGACTGAGCCCCCACCTCAGCCCCCTGGGGGTCTTCACCTTGCTCCCGAGCCTTGGGGGTTCCCCTGGGGGTACTGACAGTGTTGGGGGTGCTGAGGCAAAAGTTTTGAGGGGGGGCTGGGAGTGTTCTGGGGATGTTGGGGTTGCAGGGGGGTCTGGGGGTGCTGGAGGGGTTGGGGGCCTATTGGGGGCCTTCTGAGGGGTTGGTGTGCTGGGAATACTGAGGGGGGGGGCGCTGGCAGTTCTGGGGGGCTGCCCCCCGGCCTTGCTCCCCATCCTCCCGTTGCCATGGCAACGGCTGGCACCATCCCTGGGGATATTTTTAGCTGCTGGTGCTGCAGGAAGGGGGTGGGGGGCAGCCCGGGCCCATGGCTGTGCCACGTGTGTGCACACACGTGTCTGCAGCACACGGCCGTGCACACCCGCGTGTGCCCACCCCTGCACTGGGCCCTGTGCGTGCAACACCTGCTCGGGGGTGCTGGTGTCTGCACACGTGTGCAAGAACATACTCATGCACACACACACAGAGTCCTGTGCATCCACACGTGTGAATTCACCTGCCTGTGTGCGTGCACACATTTGCACACCTGCACACACACACACAGACGTGCTGGGAGACCTGTGCTGCCACCCTAGAGCCTTTGCACACTCACCCCTCTGCACCATGTTTGCACATCCCTTGTTTTCACACTCACCCCCTGTTTGTACATCCCCTGTTCTTACACTCACCCTTTGCACGACTCCTCCTTTTCACATATGCACCATATTTGCACCTTCCCCCCATGTTTGTACCCCCCACCTTTCCACACCCCTGCTAGTTGCACACCGCCCCTGTTTGCACATCCCCGTGTTTGCAACCCATTTTCACCCCGTGTTTGCACACACACTCTACTTGCACACTCACCCCCGGTGTTTTCATAGCTCAAGTCCTATCTCCACACTCAGCCCCACGTTTCAACACACACACACACATCCCGCGTCAGCCCGCTCTCCCCCGTTTGCTCACCCACACGTTGTTTGCACTCTCACCCCGCTGTTTGCACACTCGCCCCCCGTTCCCACCCACCCTCTGCACACTCACTCCCGCCCCCGCCCGGCCTAGCCCGTGCGAACTACAACTCCCATCAGCCCCCGCGCCCGCCCTGCCCCGCCGTCCAATCAGCGTGCGGTTTGTTGGGAGGTGCTGCAATGGCGGTGCCCAGGCGCTGAGGGCGGCGCCGGGCCGCGGTGAGGGGCGGTGGGACCCACAGGCACCGAACCTCGGGGGCTCCAGGGGGTTCCGGGGCGGCTCCGAGCTCCTCCAGGCCCGGGGAGCGGGCAGACCCCCAGCTGCAGCCCTCCGAAACCACTGGGCCGCTTCCCTTCGCTCGCCGGCCCGTTCTGGGGTCAGGGCCCCGTCGCCCTCGCCTTGAGCTGTCCGTCCGCAGGGTGACCATGAAGGTGGTGAACCTGAAGCAGGCCATCCTGCAGGCCTGGAAGGAGCGCTGGAGCGACTATCAATGGGCCATAAACATGAAGCGGTTCTTCCCCCGCGGAGCCACCTGGGACATCCTCAACTTGGCAGGTCTGGGGGGAGGCGAGGGGTTCTCCCTCCTTACTGGGCACACTGGGCTGTTTTGGGGGTCCCCACGCGTGTATTTGGGTGTTTCCCCCAGTGTTCCCCACCTTTGGGGTATTACGGGGTGCCTGTTGCATTTTGCTCCCCCCGCCCCCCCTTTCCTTCCCACAAATTCCCATTCCCAACCATGTCAGCCCATTCCCAACTGTCCTGAAAACTGGCTCCGTTTTGGGGTCATTCCCTCCTTTTTCCCCATGGGAGGGCTCAGGAGTCAGCACAGTGTAGCTTTTGGGACAAGAGAAGCAGCTTCGAGTTGAGCCAGGAGAGAATTAAGTTGGAAATGAGGAGAAATTTCTTCATTGAAAGGGTGGTTAGGCATAGGAACAGGCTGTGGTGGAGTTACCATGTGGGTGTGGCTCCAGGGGATTTGGGTTATGGTGAGATGCTCCTGGAGGTCTTTCCAGCCTTAATGATTCCCTGATTTCCTGATTCTAGCACTGCACAGGAGCCAGGTGCTGCTCCCAAGGCTGCTTCCCAGCCCAATTCAAGGGCATTTCACAGAAATCCTGCCAAAAGCTAGGACTGGTTTAAAGATTTGCCAGGCTCTCCTGCTAATTATAGAAACTTGGTGCTGGGATTTTCCCTGTGCAGCAAGTCCCGGGATAAATAAACAGAGCTGCTGCTCCAGGGGGTTTAAAGGAACCAGCCCCACACAGGCAGCACCTCTCACTCCTCTGAGTGTGGGGATCTTTCCCCTGTGCATGTTTTCCCCTTCTCCCCATCCTCCCATTGGGTTTTCTGTCAGTGCCTGTTTTTTGTCACACCCCGTCCCCGCTGCTGAGCTGCCCCTGCTGGGTTTGTCATCTCCGAGGTGTGGCTGGAGGGGCCAAATGGAGCTGTGGCTGTGGGGAGAGGGATTTGTTGGGGGTGGATTTGCTGGGGGTGGGGGTGGTTGGCTCGAGGGCCAGCCCTGCTGCTGCCCAGCTGGTCCCCAGGGCTCCCAGGTGTCTGTTGCCACCCTGGTGGCACCGGCTCCTGCTCCTCTAGCAGCGAGGCCTGCGGGGTGCTTGGCTTGGCCTCATCTGTGTATCCCCAAAAACAGCCACAGAGAGGATAATTCCCTATTATTTCTGCAGGAATGGGTTTCTCCTTGCCCACATTTAGCCAGGGCTCAGTGGTTTCTTTGGGGCAGCTCCTGTGCCAGGAGGAGAAGGATCTGTGTCCCCTTTTCCTATTGGGAGCCACACAAGCAGGATGCTGGCCCTGACTCTGAGCATTGTTTGCACCCAGGGAGAGCCCATTCCCGAGGTCCTGATGGCTGGAACAGCAGCTCCCCTCCTCACCACAGCCCCCAGAGCTGTCCTTTCCCAAGCTCAGCTTGGAAGTACAAAGGAGGGAGAGCTGGCACGAGCTGCCAGGATCACGGCAGGCCCTGGCAGATCGCTGCTGACACGTCTGCAGCAGGGAGCAGCATGTGGCTGGCTCGTGGTGACACTCTGGGATGGGCTGGGGAGGGGATGGCTGCCACCAGCCTTCTGTCCTCATCCCAGAGCCTCTTGGCCCAAGATTCAGCCTTGGAGTGACACCCAGGGAGTCTCCTGCACTCAGGATCCGGTGGTGCCTCCTCCTCCTCGGCTTTGGGGTGACAGCTTCCCACCCGGCTGCTGCTCCCCCTTTTACATCTGGGTGCTCTGACCTACTTGCAGGCTGCTCTGCAGCCCGGGGCCTGCTCAGGGAGGTGCTTCCTGCACTCTGCCATGGCTCAAATGGGCAATTAAAGGCTTGGCTGAGCAGATGGGACGGGCAGAGCCCCTCGGGCCACCAAGGGCCAGACGGGCAGGGCTGCGCCCAGTGCAGGGGACTGGTGGCCCCAAGCTCAGCCCCAGGTGCCTGGCTAAAAGACACTCAGTGGAGGCTGCAGGAGCCTCCTGGCAAGAAGTGGGAGGGAGGAGAATGTGGAGAGCAGCAGCAGCAGTTTCGGGGCTGGAGCAGGAGGCTGCGAGCTCTGCCTGAATTATTCAGGGATTAGAAAGTTGTGGGATTCAGTGAATTTAGGAGAAAGATGGTTTGGAGTCTCTGTGGTTGGTACAGTTGGACTTTGCCAGCTTCCCTGTGGGATGAGGGGAGAACAGAGCATGTGTGTGTGTCCCCATGTGCTGACCTGGGACCCTCTTTCCTTGCAGAGGCTCTCCTGGAGCAGGCCATGATCGGGCCATCCCCAAACCCACTCATCTTGTCCTACCTGAAATATGCCATCAGCTCCCAGGTAAGGACCTGCTGCTGCTGCTGGGGGTCACCTTGCAGCCTCAGTGAGGTTGGGCAAAGCAACTGGAGTGTTGGTGGTGGGCAAGCACTCCAACCCCCCATGTGAGCCTCTCTGGGGCTGGGGCAGACACCCCAAACCCCCATGTGAGCCTGTCTGGGGCTGGGGCAGACACCCCAAACCCCCATGTGAGCCTCTCCTGGGCTGGGGCAGACACCCCAAACCCCCATGTGAGCCTCTCCTGGGCTGGGGCAGACACCCCAAATCCCCCATGTGAGCCTCTCCTGGGCTGGGGCAGGCAGTGGAGGGCTCAGTGTGTGCCCTGGGCAGGGATGTTTCCATAAATAGCCTCTGCCATCGCCCAGGGTGGCAATTCTGCCCCCCAAGAGGCTCTGCACTCGCTGTGTGCTCCACAATTCCATATCCTGGCATTTAATATCGCCTAAAGTTTGTGTGAAACGCATCAGCCATCACCTAAAAATGTCTGTTTGGATTTGTGCCGGGTCAGTGCCCCAGCCCTGGCCCCGTCTGCGGTGACAGGCAGCGGGGCCGTGCCCTGACCTTGCTGTTCCTCAGCAACGAGCCCCTGTGACACCGCGCTTGTTTTGGCTTTCTCTCTTGTAGATGGTGTCTTATTCCACGGTGCTGATGGCCATCAGCAAGGTAGGGCTCTGACAGGTGCTCTCAGAGGGTTCGCTCTTCACCCACAACCCCACAAATCCCTTTCCCTCCCCACAAACTCCCACCAAATATAGGTCAAGTGGAAAGCGACGGCCCGGGCTGAGTCAGCAGCAGGCAGCCGGCGCAGATTAACGCCCAAGCCTTTCTGTGTCCCCCTGGGGATGGGCTGCCGTGGGTCCCAGGGGGTTTTGGGGGTGTCAGTGTCTTGTCCCTCTGCCCTGGGGGGCCTGGCAGGCTCCTGCCTGTGTGTAACCTCATCCCAACTGCTGGAAACCACATCCCGCTGTGGCCGGCGGTGCTGGCAGCGCTGTGGGGATCAGAGCTGGCCATGGAGGAGCTGGGCCACAGCCACACACCACACTCAGCTGTGCTCTGTGTCCCTGTGCTGCTTCCATGGGGACACTGAGCGCCCTCCATGGCTGCCTCTGGTGTTGGGA